TCCAGCATATGAAACTCATGATGAGCTTCATATTCAATTCACGAACAAACGATTGGTATTCACCAAGTAACAAAAGTAATCGATCCAACACAAGATTTGAATGAAACAATTTCCAGGAAACAAAGATATGAAAGCAGTTTGAAAGAGAAAAAGAGAAAAGCAAAGGATTTTCTTTAAAAGTTAAAGAACAAAAAAGCAGAGGATCGAAGCTCGAATTTGACAGTGAAAGGAACCTGAGACAAGTGGAAAAAATGTCAATACCTTGCTTGCCAAATCTGTCTGAACCCAACCATTTTTGTATTTGAGTTTATTATTAGTATATTCTATTTAGAAAGTACTGATTTTTCTTCCAAATTTTACTGCCCACTCTTCTTGTGCCGCTTTTGACCGACACCCTTGTAATAAAATACACACACATACCATCTCTCTTCATTACTAGGCTGCTGCCCCAAGCTTCGGATCTCTTTCTCTTTCTTTCTTTTGCTTTAATGGCGATGTCTTGAATCACCGAGTCTCCCAACGTCTATTGCTGGCCTTCATTTTCTTCCTCGTTCTTCATCTTCTCCAGCTGTGCTTTGGGTGCCTATTTCTATGGTTGTCTATCATGTGCTTCACCTCATCTGATCCCAAAATACCTGCAACAACAACTACTACAAGACTTAAAGAACACCATAAAAGTATTAACAAAAAGAAGCTAGCAATGGGTTACTGTAACATGCCTTTTTCTCTTTCTATGACTCGTTTGCTGCTCAATGAGTTAGTCCTACTCGTCTTGATCTTTACTTCTTCTCCAGCTCAATGCACCACAGATCCTACAGATGGTATTTTTGTTTTCCATTTTGGGTTTCTTTTTCTTTTCTAATTATTTAGCATTGCTGATTTGTTTGATGTGGTTTAGGGTTGTTTGATTAGTAATGATATGATTTTGACTATTCTGCATACTGTTTTGCTTGGAAAGCTTGAATCTTTTATGCTGTGTTGTTTGTTTCTCGAGAAAAAAATGTCAGTAAAATTAAGGGGGAAAATTTGCTTGGATTCCTAGGGGATCATTGAATGGAGGGTTTAATCAATTAATTCAATCTAACCTTTATTTGATTTATTAATGTTTGGAACCTGGATATGTCTTACGAAGTTGTTTTTTGATTCTTTTGGGCAGTTCAAGCGCTTCAGGTTATGTACACTTCATTGAACAGCCCTTCAAAGTTAACAAATTGGAAAACTAGTGGTGGTGATCCATGTGGAGAAACATGGAAAGGGGTTACCTGTGAGGGCTCGGCCGTCGTTTCCGTGTACGAGACTTTATATATGTTCGAATATAGCTACTTATCTTTCCGGAAATTTGTAGTTTTGATCGGTTTATGTTTCGGTTAACGAGTGCTTCTTGTTGTTTATAACAGTGATATTTCTGGGTTAGGACTTTCTGGAACCATGGGATACTTACTCACCAATCTTATGTCATTGAAACATTGTAAGATTACTCCATTGCTCCGATGTCGATCATCATTAATCTCTCATTCAGATTGTAACTCTTTATTGATCAGCTAATTAGTTCATTGGTTTTTTTTGGTATTATGTTAGTGATTTGAGTAACAACAACATGCATGATCCGATCCCATACCAGTTGCCGCCGAATCTTACGAGCTTGTAACGTCTCTGATTCATGGTTGTTTTCGTTCTTTTGATTGCTTGATCTTAACAGCTTATTTATTGCATGATGATGCAGGAATCTTGCAGGTAACAACTTCAGTGGGAATATTCCGTATTCCATTTCTAGTATGGTTAGTCTTACTTACCTGTAAGTAACATGTCTCGAAGGCTATAATGTTTTGTTTACTCACCACATAATCGAGTAGCAAATCGGAACTTTCTTTCGTTACCTAATTCTAAATCTTTGGTTATAGGAATGCAAGCCGTAATTCGCTTTCCCTGTCTGTTGAAGACGTTTTTGCTAATCTTTCCAGACTTGGGACCTTGTAAGTGGACTTAAATTTATATGATTATCGTATCGAAGTTGTTCCTCGTGCATTAGTATTCCGAATATATTTCGACTGGTGTAAATTCGGGTACCTTGTTAATGCAGGGATCTTTCCTTCAACAATTTTAGTGGGAATCTTCCTATGTCATTTAGCTCATTGAGCAATCTTTCTACACTGTAAGTGTTGCATCATTAATAGTAAAAATGAAAGGGAAAACGAGTGCTATTCGTGCAGCTTCTTGATCAAGTGGTATTAATTGTCTGAATTTGTGGCAGGTATTTGCAGAACAATCAATTGACTGGTTCGCTTGATGTTCTTTCGGGTTTATTACCTTTGACGACTCTGTAAGTTACTTTTCTCGTACCGCACTTGGATTTTTACTCTCTTTCGGTCTGTTCTTATGCACCCTCAATTCTTTACAGAAATGTTGCAAAGAACAATTTCAGTGGATGGATTCCTCGAGAGCTTTTTTCGGTCCCAACTTTTGTGTAAGGCTTAATATAGTATTGCTTTCTGAATCTAGTTTGTGCAAAATTTGAAACTAGTTGTAAAAAAAAAACTGAAACAGATACGATGGCAACTCCTTTGCCGACGGGCCTGCACCTCCTTCACCACCTGGTGGATCTCGTAATAAACGTAATCCTCGATCTGGAGCTCGTTCATCCCCGGCTTCTGATGGTCAATCATCAGATTCTGATAATGGACTATCAGCCGGAATTATTGTAGGCATAGTTCTTGGCTCTTTGTTACTGCTTGTCCTTGCAGTACTTGCTCTTATTTTCTGCATCCGTAGAAACGAAGGAAAGGTGAACGGTGCAAGACCTTCAAGGGAAAATCTTTCGGTTAGCACCGGTAACGGTAGGTTTTCGGCTTCGTTTTTCTCTTTTCAGGCAGTACCTAATTGATTTCTTTTGTTACAACATTTGATTGCATAATCCTCATTGGAAATGTGAAGTGCAGCTGCATTCATTAGGAATTGATTTTATTTCTAATTATTCGACTCAAGTACCCAATGAGTAGCTTCTTGTTTTGCAGTACATACTGAGATGCAAGAGCAGAGGGTGAAAAATGTCGGTGCCGTCGTAGATTTGAAACCCCTAGCGGCAGAACCAGTAGCGGTTGAGAGGATGTCCAAAAGCGGGTCTTTAAACAGAATGAAGTCGCCCATCACTGCTACAACATATACGGTTACTTCTTTACAAACGGCAACTAATAGTTTTAGCCAAGAATATCTCATCGGTGAAGGGTCACTTGGTCGTGTTTACAAGGCAGAATTTCCGAACGGAAAGGTAACTAGAATAAATGTTTAATATCGAAGTTCTCTCAAGCAAAAGAATCCATGCCAGATAACTTGTGACATAATGCAAGATTTTTCAGAATGATTACTTACTCCTTTGTATCTTTTACGATCTAGACAATGGCTATTAAAAAATTGACAATGCGGCACTATCATTACAAGAGGAAGACAATTTTCTGGAAGCCGTTTCCAGTATGTCCCGCTTGAGGCATCCCAATATCGTTACATTGGTTGGATTCTGCGCAGAGCATGGACAGCGTCTTCTAGTATATGAATATATAGGAACCAATAGTCTTCATGATATGCTGCACTTTTCCGACGATGGTAGTAGGAATCTAAGCTGGAATGCACGTGTTAGAGTGGCTCTCGGCACTGCCCGAGCTTTAGAGTATGTTATATATGTATTGTTTTCTCGAGTCTATCTCATATGTGTTGCGAGTATTTGTCTACTTGGTTGCATGTTCCTTTCTGATGAAGCTGTTGTTGTCAGATACTTGCACGAAGTGTGCTTGCCCTTGGTTGTACATAGAAATTTCAAGTCCGCAAACATCTTACTTGATGAAGAGCTCAATCCTCACTTGTCAGACTGTGGTTTGGCTGCTCTTACACCGAATACCGAACGACAGGTAAGAAACAAAGTCGCTCTCGCTGTCTGTGAATAGAAGTTTAATTCTAGCTCTTAACTATTTTTTTTTGGTTCAATTTAATATTATGCAGGTTTCCACACAGATGGTTGGTTCATTTGGTTATAGTGCTCCCGAGTTTGCACTGTCCGGAGTATATACCGTAAAGAGTGATGTATACAGTTTCGGGGTGGTGATGTTGGAGCTACTGACTGGTCGGAAACCACTCGACAGGTAAAAACCCATTTCCGGTTTCGTAGATTATGTCTCTAGAAGTTGGCATTGTTACATGCTTCGTCTACCTGTCCCAAGCAAAGTTTTGTTATGATGAATGACTGTATTCTGCATTTTTTAGTTCAAGGGCGAGATCCGAGCAATCACTCGTCAGATGGGCCACGCCTCAACTACACGATATAGATGCCCTGGCAAAAATGGTAGATCCTGCACTCAATGGCATGTACCCTGCGAAATCTTTGTCTCGCTTTGCCGATATTATCGCTCTCTGTGTACAGGTAAAGCTATTTATGAATGCTTTGGACAATCTGGACTAAATTAACATGAGTGGTTTTGTAGGGTAAAAGAAAAGAAAAATTTGCCAACTATGAAATTTTCTTCTATGCAGCCGGAACCAGAGTTTCGTCCCCCCATGTCCGAGGTTGTGCAAGCTTTAGTGAGGTTAGTGCAAAGGGCAAGTGTTGTCAAAAGGCGGTCGAGTGATGACTCGGGCTTTGGGCATAAAACTCCAGATCATGAGATTGTCGACATGTCATTTTGAGTGTCGGATTGAAACCAGAAGCTTGAATCGACGCCTTGCGAGCAATCATCCTTAGGTTCGAGATGACAAAAAGAGCAGACAAGTTGAAGCGAAAATGATCCACAAGAGAATCAAAATCAAGAAATGGAAGAGAAAAGGTTCTGCAATTATTTAACACATGCAAATACATAAATTGTATTATTGGACATTATGATGCACATTCACGTTTTGCATCTTTACAATAAGAAAAATGAATTTTTCTGTAGTACATTCAGAGTACATAACATTCCTTTGTCTTGCTGTCATGTTTTCATGCTTAGTATAGTCCGAGTATCGACTGTTTACGAAATCGACCTAATTTATACCGGCATTCTCACGATATGATTCAAACTTCCTGTTAAAATAATTTCCCCGAAGCTGAACACGTTGGTCGATTGAGTCGCAGTTATTTCTATGTCCAAATCTTGGGTTCCATCTGGGGCTATAGTAAACCAAGGTGGATGTAAGGTAATTGTTGTCCCGTTTGGCGGTATTGCTAAGCCTACATAAGTCTCCGGTTTCATCGCCACGTTCTTGAAACTCCGTCTCACTGTCAGCGATCTTCTTAGTGCAGATATCGTCACCGACGGTATGTTCAAGTTAGCCGGGTGGCCAAGCGACTGACTGCACCATGCTCCAGTGGCAACTCTGATTGCAAAGCGATCAATGTTCGGCATTGAACACAAAAACCTGATAGTCTTCAAAGTCTGCTTCATGATAGCATTATGAAGAACTAAGTTATATATGTTGGTCAAGCTTGATAATGGAATTTAAAAGTGAAAAGGTTTACCTGATGATAAGACCAAGCCTGGATCCATGGCACGTCTTGGATTAACAAAGCCGGCGCCGAAATCAAAATTATTACCGGCATACGAGCTTCGAACTTCAAATCCTTCTGCCATTATAACCCGACCATTGTTATCAAACTTGGTGGCCGTGGTTGACATTGCAGATACGATCATCGATGGCGTCAGGAAGGATGCTTTTGCTTAATTAGTGCTGCAATTCCGGCAATATGAGGTGCAGCCATGCTTGAACCGGATATCAGAGCGAAATTATAGCCTATATAAATAGTTTCAAAGCCTAATCAACTCTTTATTTCCAAGCAATTAGTAAGAAGGTTGATGATCATTTTAGTTACCAGTTAGAATCGGGTCGAGGGCACTCAAGGGGCTCCAGGCTGCCCAAATTTCATGGCCCGGGGCGAGAATATCAGGTTTAAGTACATCGGCAGGGTTCCGGTCAATGTCGATAAAATCGGGTCCCCTTGCTGAGAATCTGCTAACAATGGGTGCTTGGCCACCAAACGAAGCAAATCTACCGTCTCGTATCGCAGCTCGTGCATTGAACTGTGTCACAAAGCCCCTTGCATCCCTTAATGTTTGCTGTTCATAATATTGAGATAGAATCTACAAACAAACATTATATTGTGTTAGAACTGGTTGTTGACTATGGGAAAATTTGCCTGTTGTGGAATGATAAACCTGTTTTACCTTTGCATCTGCAACTTTTGTGATCAAAGTGCCAGAAACAGAATAAGGAATCGGTTGGCCGATGAAATCGCCATAACTCGGATTCGCAACAAGAATGAATCCCATGAATCCGAGAACTGTCGCGGTGTCGATGACGGCGGTTAACGTGGATGTATCGTTATAGAAACCAGCTGAAAAAGTGCATATAACAATACTACCCCTCACTATGTTAGGGTCAAAAGCTTCCGGATATTGGCACTCCTCGACATACGGCGGAGTCCTAGGGAATGTCCCACTTAAACTGATAGCATCCTTAGCCAGCACTAGCTTATACAGTAATGTTCCATTTCCAAAGTTGGAGCTACCAAAGACAACATATATGTATATGTTACTGTCAGTTTTAAGGTTTTTAGAACTAATTACTTGTGGTCCAAGTAGGCATTACCTGATAACCCCACACCAGAAATATTTAGTCCATTTCCAAGGAGAAGAGAATCAATGTATCGTCGGTCTGTCCTGGAAGCGGCTGCACCGACACTCCAAGGGCTGTAAGACAATACCATCGAAGGACCAGGGCCTGAATTTCCAGCAGCCTGTACCACAAAACCCCAGCTCTTCGTGCGAATAACATGGCTATGTCGAAAATGCTCAAGAATGTGACTGAATCTTGTGGTGGTTCATCTGGTCCGATCGACAAATTCAAGATATCCACTCCATCTGCTACTGCCTGTGGTGTTCACGTCACAAGTTTTATTAGAAACTTGCATGGAAGTAATGCATTGTTATATCAGAAACTGATGTAGATATCAGAGTCCTACTTGATCAATGGCTGCAACTACATCCGCAAGTGTTCCTACTGTAGGGTAGACAGCCTTATAAACAGCAACTCTATTTCCGAAAATGAAAAAGAACCCAATATTCAATATCATTACTAGAATTATTTCATAATAACGAGTTAAGTAAAACGGACCTTGCTCGTGGTGCCATCCCACTGGCTCGTCCATAATAGAAGCTGTTAACCACCACAGGGACCCGGCGTTTCCGGCTGCAGTCGATGCTACGTGGCTGATCCGAAGAACACATTGTCTCCGGCTTTACAAACACAATACATAAATTACAAAGTTAATATGTTTCCTTATTTGTTTCATACACTTACCTTCCATGGCCTACTGCATCCGCCGGTGAAGGAATATCGATCGTAGCATTAAGCGGAGTGAGCGCTTGAGCTCCGGCTATGAAAAACCTGGCGGAAACAATCTTACCATTGCACGAAAACGACGGGAATTGAGGACCAACCTCACATGCACCAGAGAAATGAGAGATATTGGACGTTAAAGGATTGAGTATGTCATAAGCAAAGCTTGGGTGAAAAGGGTTAATCCCCGTGTCGACGAAACCGATCACGATCCCGTCTCCTGCATTTCGGTCGCCGCCTTCTTGAGTCCACACGGTTTCCGGTAACCCTAAGAACTGAGGACTGTAAGTAGTCATCACTCTGGTTCTTCTATCTCCTTCAACCAGCTTCACTCCCGGAGAATGCTGTAGTTTCTTAGCCTGAAATTTTCATGGCAATTACAGTATGAGAGAACGAAAACAATGTGTAAAACACACACACAAAAAAAAAAGTACTAGGAAACAACCTGGGATGGTGTTGTGTGTACAGCAAAGCCATTAAGAACATGTTTGAAGCTGTATAACTTGTTATAGCTTCCCCTATCTAGAGTTCTTTGAAGAACTTGATCATGAGAATCGACCAACTTTTTTGCATGATCCATGGAAGAGCTTCACTAATCATTCGATACAGAAAACAGACAGTGTTAAACTACAATTTTGAACATCAGCTTTCCAACATTATACTTAGATGTTTTGTAACCTGTTGGGATCGAATTTTCTTCCATGAAATGCTACTGCTTCTCCTTCCATTAAAACCAAATATATCGATCTTCCTTCCGCAACAGATGCAATCGAACTCTTCACGAGAAGATGGAAGAGAAGGAGAAGAACGACGCCGTTTGCCATGTTTGTGCAAGGGAATGAATGATTAATTTCAAGTAGTCTTGTGTGTTTACACATAAAATGGCTATCATACACATTGTTAACGTGACTAAAGCTGTTTCCTTTTATGAATTGTGACAGTTACCTTCACTTTTCCTGCTTTGGTTCAAACTAAATCTGGTAGAAATTAAGATAAAATCATGTTGCTCATGTTTTGCCAATGCTGTTTCACACCTTGTCTTAAAACTCTGGAGAAAAATGCTTTCCTCGAGTTCCCTACGAGTCATGGTACTCGCGCTTATTTTAGAAATAAATTTATGATATTTCAAGGAATGATGACGAATTTATTATTAACATAAAATATAAATATATAGATAAAAATTTAAAATTTTCAGAAGATGACTCCTATCCTTTGATACATGACTGCTCACGAAGCATCTCGATCGGCTGTAAAGGCTTCTTGTACATCTTTGCGTCATTATTATTTATGAAGGTTGTACTTATATCATTGACACATTTTACTTATACATGCATCTTTACATTGAACACTCATCATTACATACATTTTCAACTAATAATCGTGTCTTTCTCAAAGACCACAATATTATTTTCCCTTCCGTTAAGGATTTCATAAAAATCTCGTCTTTCTCAAGATCATTTTATTGAGGGTGTCTTTAAAAAAATTTTAAAATAAAAGATCTCGCCTTTCTTAAGATCATTTTTCTCTCTTGAGGAGATCTTGTCTTCTTTAAAGTTGTTCCCCTAAAAATTTCACTATTGATTGTTTCCTTTGAAACATCAAATTTATCATTGAGATTATCTATCTTGAAACATCAATTTCTTTCCTCTTAATTTTGTCCCACTCGAGACGTCTTTCCTCGAAACTAATATATTGTCTTCCTTAAGATTGATTCCCTTGAAACACCGATTTTGTCTCATTTAAGATGGTTTCTCTCGAAACGAAATTTAGTCTCACTCAATATAGTTTCCCTCAAAACAAAAATTTTATCTCAGTATTTGAGATAGTTTCTCTCGAAACAAAAATTTGCCTCACTTGGGATAATTTTCCTTAAAACAAATTCGTCTCACTCAAAACAGTTTCTTTCGAAACAAAAATTTTATCTCACTTGAGATGATTTTCCTTAAAACAAATTTCGTCTCACTTGACAATTTTTCTCAAAATAAAATTTTATCTCACTTGAGATAATTTCCCTTGAAATAAATTTCATCTTACTTTAAACAGTTTCCCTTGAACAAAAGTTGCATCTTACTTGAGATATTTTCTCATGAAAAAAAATTAGTCCAAGTTGAGATATTTTTTCGACATGGTTCAACCTGTAAAGGGGAATTATCTAAAACTCGACTTAACTCGCAATAGAAGAGTCGACCACAACTTATCTCAACTCGCAACGATGAGCTAATTTTCTACATTTTAGGCCTACATAAGAGCAATGCATTCATGACTTTACACACACGTATATAATTTTATAGATTTTCTAATCAAATTTCAACATCACGATGAAGGATATTAGACGGGAAGAACATCCAAATATGACTTGATTAATAAAGTAGTCGTAAAGGAGGAGTCAACCTCAACTTCACCTCCTCAAGAAGGGAACCAATCGCCTTTACTAACTTTAAATATTCACAAATACGCTTACCAATAGTTATGTTGGCTTTTGAGATTCATCTATTTTGGGACCAGGATATACCAAATAAAGATTTTTAGACCATCTACTTGAAGATGTAGACAAGCTCTCGAAAATGGACTCAAAAAGACCCAATCATTCTTGAAGATGTATCAAAAGTGGAAGAGCATATCAACCGAAGGTTAAAAGAAAGCGATAACACTATGGAACGAAGCTATATCAATTGAACAGAAGTCGACTTTTTTTTTTATCTTTATTCAATTCTTTCATGTATTTCTGTTGGTTTCTTTTCAATCAAGACTTGACTACAGCTCAAAATCAGCATCAAAATCTTCCCCTACTAACCGAGAATTGAAATCATACTCACCAAGACTTGATTGAGAAGAAACCAACAGAAAGAAATGAAAGAATTGACCTAAAGATTCTAAACTAAAGAAGGAATTCACCTAAAGAACTCCTGATCTTCTAGCTAAATGAGTATGATGGTTAGCGAGAAGATAATGGCAACCATGAAGCAAACAATCCATGTGAAAAAGCAGTCACAGTAATCGGAGCTGATGAACGACAGGTGGTCGGAGTTGATGAGCGTGGAAGGAGAGGAAATAAGAGAGACGCGTTATATAGAATAAATAGGCTCAAAGTACATACAAGGCACATGCATGCATATCAGCATAAGATAATATGACATAAAACTATAATCCAAATTCATTATATCACAGTTTCTTTGCATATAAATGCAAATATTAGCCTTCAAACTTCTTGCCAGCAGCAGCAGCAATACAGGCACAAGTATTGTTGATCTTTCACAGAAGAGTCTGGGAGAGATCCATAGGAAAGGGATTGGCCAACACATTGTCCATATAAAAGTGCGGATGTGGGGTCCATTACCACAAACTGCATATCTTCCGATGGTTTCCAGTGCCTTTTCCTTTGGTTGATGAACCAGTTGTTTATCTGCTTCTGATCCAGACCGGTAGACTCGGCCAACGCAAGCTTTTGCGACTCCTGTAATCGGCATTTTCGGTTAACAGATAAAGGAGATGATATTCGGTAGAGATAACACGACCGAACGTGTACTTACAGATGGGTAAGGCCATTTGTAATGTCGACTCCACCAGTCCAGCAGCTGTTGCCTTGCTTCCTTGGGCAACTTCCCTTTCTTCCTCTTTTTCATGAACTCCTGCTTCAGATTGCCTAGATATCCGCTGTATTTCCGCAAAAGCTGGCCTTTGAGTTCTCGGTCTTCGGCGAGGGGATCGATCGAATTGTTGTTCACATCGACGTCTTCCTCAGATGGTACATCCCTGTCAATACCCTCTCCAGAAGCTGAATATAAAAGAATTAGTATGCAATCTAGAATAAGAAGAATGTCTTGCTCGAAACAAACCGGGGCAGCATATTGCCAAATCAATCAAGTTCATAGATTTCCACACACACATGTTAAGTTCTGCCAGGCCGAAAAAACTAGAGAATTTCTCAGGAGATAATGAAGCCTGCTCTGCTTTCAAGTTATACAGGAAAATTAAGCCATGAAGATAAACAATACTTTACATGGAACACAATTTGAATTGATCAACACGACGGTTCAAGAATTTCTAAGACACATTGGCCTATACAAAGGGCAAAAAGAACGAGTAGACTTCAACAGATCAGATGTCAATAAAGCGAATTTGGCCATGCTTTCTCTAGAGATTTGGGGTTCTTCATAGGCATTCATTTCCTTTAAATAAACACCTCAACAAAACTGCTACAATTAAATTTTGTTTTATCCGAAATCCTTATACTATATAGGACAATAGAAGTCTGAGCACATCCCAATACGAAGAAGCCGACATCATCAGAATGAAATAACTCTAAAATTACCTGTGGAACTTCATACTAATGCCTTCAACAAAGTCCATCGGAAAATGTATGAGATGAAAGAAACAAGGGAGAAAACAAAACATGAAAAAACAGCACCTACCCTACGTCACTTGCAGATGGCATGCAGATGGCATCTGAAATTCTGAATAATAATCAAGCTATTCCAAATGCTAGATCAAACCTAAATGCAAATCCATTAAATAGAAAACCCAAGAAATGGTATAAAACAATAGAACACAACAACACTGAGAAATTGTATCAGCACCATATATCTTCTACTAGAATATGGCAACTACAACGTAGAAAACTCGAGAAATTCAGACCCCAACGCCCTTCCGAATTTATACCCTAAACAGTAATCCATCTACAACCCTAGTTTGATCAAGCCCTAAATTCTCAAAAGTTTTGATTATTCTCTGACAACATGATCATGGTATTTGAACAACACCTTTCAGTTTTCTAAGCACTTCAGTACATTTGCATCTCAATATCACGTAGGCTAGCCCTAGAAAGCTGCAACATATGTATTTCCATTGTTTTGTTCATCACTTGACAATCTTCAATGTAAATAACCTAACTTAACCTGATGTTTGCCCCATATCTAGCAATCCAGACAACTTCACAATGAGCACACATCAAGAAGATGACTAAGAACAGTTCCATATCTGACATGGTGGAAGGATGCAGAAGAAATTTTGAAGAGGGTTAAAGAGAAAAAGCACAGAGAGGAAGATGTAACGAAAAGGAATGAATGAAATTTTGCAGACATGCATGTTGTTTTAAAATATAATATTAGAAATAATCAAATATATGAGGGGGAGAGATCATTGTTACCAGAAACTGGAAAGGAAAGTGTGAGGGCTTTGAACTGACACCCAACCCTTTGGAGAAAAAGCATGGCTTCTTTGAAGGGTTTAGAGAGTTCTTGCTCGTATTTAGTCAGCATCTCACAATAAGCCTCCATGAACTGGTCAAGTGCTGGATCCTCGCCTATGCAGCTGCTCCTTGCAGGAACCATAGCGGCGGCGGACGCGCATGCTTCTTCCAACCTCGCCACCACTTCAGGCGGCGCTCCTACCTGCTTGGTTTTGTTTAAGTTAATACTGCTTCCATTATAGAAACTAGACTGACGATAGGTTTATAAAAGCTTCCACCTTTTGGCAATTGACATAGGCGGCCAAGAGTCGATGGTAGTGAGGATGAGCCATGATCTTGGCCTTGATAGAGGAGCTGCCATCGTTGCTGCACTCCATGAAATAACATCCAGTATTGCTGTTGTTGTTTTGATGATCGTCTATAATCATAGAGGAACCACTGCTGCTATTGTGGTTATGGTCTTGATTTTTAGTGGGAGGTAGAGGAAGAAAAAGGATCCTGATGAGTCTGTATTATGATGATGATGAGAAGTCATGGGATGATGCATCATCGACATAGGACACAATCCATTGCCATTGTGTCCAAAAGCCATCATGCAAGAAGTGCTATTGGAACAACCTTCCATTATCTCTCTCA